CCAAAATAACCCCCCCCCCCCCATTACCAGATCAGTGTGCTTTCCAACAAATTGAAGCAGATGGATTTTTTCCAACTTCCCTTCCAGCGATCTGCCTTAGGGCACGTGACATGTCCTACTTAAAAGAGTCACAACTGAATAAGATGATAAAAGCCTCCCTCAGAATGGCAGGTACCCTATTGTTTAACAGAGGTCTGAATGGGGAGCAGTTCTACCTAATAATTCTGTTACTGCACACTTAAAAGAGAACTATGGGGTAAGTGTTTTTCCCCATAGTTCTTTTAAGGGGCACAGGAGAACATATACTAGCGTCCTCCCATCACCCAAAGCTCAGTATATTGCGTGCTACAGCTCGCAGTATACTGAGACCGCCGCAGCCGGGACGGATCCCGACATTACTGTCGAGATCCACCCAGTTGCATGATTGACAGCTGGCTCTGCCTATCTAGAGGCAGTGTCAGCTGTACCCGCCCCTCCCCTGTCCATTCCTCCAGTCAGTGCTGGAGGATCGGATCAGGGAGGAATCCCTGCAGGGAGCCGTGACTCCCTGCAGGGACATGATCGAAAAGTGAGGGAGCGAAGGTATGTGTTCCCTCGATTCCCGATATATTGAGCCAACGTGTGACAGTTTCATTGTCACATGTCGGCTCCAACTATAAGGATGAGTGATTTTCACTCACCTCGTAGTTCTCCTTCAAGTACCTTAAGAAAAGTATTAAAAAAAGAATAAAACATTCACACAGTAAATATAATTTAAAATTCACACAATAAATGTGACTGGAACACATTACGTATATAACAACAAATAAGGATTCAAAGACCACTCTGTAGCTAAATATTTCTTGGATGTTCATCGCAAAGATCCCAGTCAGTTGCAATTTTGGGGAATAGTTTCCAGACACTGGAGGGGGGCTACTGGCGATGGGAATTGGCTAAAAAGGGAAACTGCGTTTCTGTACGGCCTATTGCATTGCGACCAGAGGGCGTGGCTAGAGTGCCATCCACTTCAATGGACCACCACGCCCACTCCTGCCCCACAACATAGTGAGCCGCCTGCAATGCGGCGTTCTGGCCAGAACATTTCCACCTTTGTAAGTGATTTTGAGTTTTTTGTGGTAATGTAGAGGTGCAGGGGGGATGTACATGTGTGTGCATTCTCAGGAGTCACAGGTCTGTTTTTCATACTTTATTTTATAGACCCTTTCACAGGCCACAGACCTAGAAATGCAAAATTCCCTCCACAAGATCTTCAATCGTCTCTCAGAGGGTCGGGTTTTTATCTCTAAACTGCAATCAACTGATGCCCCTCCCCCTCAGCTCTGAAGAGAGAGCAGAGATGTGTCATTAGCACAGCTTCTGTGAGGGAGGGAGATCTGTCACTGTGTTCTGTCTGTGTTATGAAGAATCTCCTGCACTTGTCCTGTGTCTCTCTCTCTCAGATCTCTCCCTCTCCTGGGTCACATCTACTCTCTGCTGTCCCAAGTCCAGGTTCCTCCATGTGCCCCCTCCCCCCACCATTCTTCTCATTTACAGATATGACTGTTAGAACAGATAAAAAGACATTGGGGTAATTGATCAAAACTGGGTCAAACAGAATCTGGAGCCCATGGCAACCAATCAGCATCTCTCTTCAGTTTGCTCAGGTAAGATTTGAAAATGAGAGAGATGCTGATTGGTTGCCATGCACATCTGCTCTAGATTTTGCCTGCTCCAGTTTCGATAGATCCCCCCATTGTGGGGTCAACGGGGACACTGGAAATTGTTGGTGTCATCGGGGATGTGCGGGGTCACCGGAGATTGTTTGGTGTCACCACAGATGTGCGGGGTCAACGGAGATTGTATGGTGTCACAGAGGATGTGCAGGGTCACCGGAGATTGTTTGGAGTCACCGGGGATATGCGGGGTCACCGGAGATTGTTTGGGGTCACCGGAGAAGTATGGGGTCACTGGGGATGTGCGGGAGTCATTGGACATTGTTTGGTGTCACTGGGGATGTGCGGGGTCACCAGAGATTGTTTGGTATCACCGGAGAAGTGCTGGGTCACCGGGGATGTGCAGAAAAACAAAAGTAGTTTGCTTCTATCAAAATAAAGGAAAAATGTATATTCTGTGAAGGTTCTCATTCATCCATATATGGTATATCTGTAAAAAATAAGTCAAGGCAACTGGACTT